AGAGAGAGAGAGAGAGAGAGAGAGAGAGAGAGAGAGAGAGAGAGAGAGAGAGAGAGAGAGAGAGAGAGAGAGAGAGAGAGAGAGAGAGAGAGAGAGAGAGAGAGAGAGAGAGAGAGAGAGAGAGAGAGAGAGAGAGAGAGAGAGAGAGAGAGAGAGAGAGAGAGAGAGAGAGAGAGAGAGAGAGAGAGAGAGAGAGAGAGAGAGAGAGAGAGAGAGAGAGAGAGAGAGAGAGAGAGAGAGAGAGAGAGAGAGAGAGAGAGAGAGAGAGAGAGAGAGAGAGAGGAAAGCGGCTCACTCGCTCGCTCTCTGAGGGAATCATGAGGATCTGACCTGGTTTCTGCTGGTTTCGCGCTGTGGCTCGTGTTTCTGTGGTTTTATGCGTTCGTGTATGTGGAAAGGATGGCTGATCTTACGGTACGTGTGTGTTCTTCATCACATTCATGCTGTTTGTGGAGTTACGAACGCTCTTGCTGTCTGCTTCTGTGCGTTTCGACCAGAACTAAGAATCGATGATTGTGAGCAGCTGCAGGAACAAGATTCTGTGTTCATCATCTGAGATGATTCATGTTTTTAACTTGATCTAGTTGAGCAGAATTGTTTGAAAAATCATTGTTCTTGAGTTTCTTTGATTTCGTTTTAGAGTCGAACCAGCTTATAGTTTTGAAGAGGTGGAATATTTGATGTGCCTGTTGATCAGACGCTCTTAATGAAGGAAAAGATCACTGTTATAGTTGTTTGAATCTGATTAAAGGAATGGTTCACCCAAAAACGATAATTTGCTGAAAATGTGCTCCCCCTCAGGCCATCTGAGATCAGGATGAGTGTGTTTCTTCATCAGGTTTGTAGAAATGTAGCATTGCATCAGTGTCTCAGCAATGGATGCTCTGCAGTGAATGGGTGCCGTCAGAATGAGAGTCCAAACAGCTGATAAAAACATCACAATAATCCACAAGTAATCCACAGCACTCCAGTCCATCAGTTAACATCTGGAGAAGACAAAAGCTGAAACACATCCAGCATTAAGACG